CTCAGCTCGCAATAACGTTCTGTTGTGTTGTCCACTTCTTAGTTCCTAATTGTTATACTGAAGCGGATTTCCTCCAACACAATTAAGTATTGCATGTCAATATGTTAAATGCCATTTTCCGTTGTGTTACAACTTCGGCCTGATTTTCTTCCTGTGTTTGTTTCCAAGAACAATCTACAAGGCAGCAGCTGTGTGTTTTATCTGCTTGATGGATTGCTGTCCACAGGCTCATCTGCAAGTGGGTCCGAACTCGAGACTTATGGAGATAGCAGTCATACCTCGCCCGACCACTTCGTCCACTGCTGATACGTGTTCATTCATGAATGTTGTTAACAATGTTAACATGTCTTAGTTAACAATTTCCTGTGTATAATGATCATCATTATTCTGATCGTTATAATTTCTACATTGCTGTATAATGTACCATTTAAAACCTTCCACATAAATGACCCATATATAACTTCAAAAACTGGTCTCTTATTGCTGGGTGTGGATCGGAGTTCTCTGAAACAAGGGTCATCGGCCAGGTCACGGCTAGCATGACCCTGTCCCCTAACCCCCTCAACATCCGCCTCTGTAGCTCCAAAAGGTAGACGCCCAATGTCTGCTTGTTGCGGTAGACTCCGGCTAGTGCCGTGTGTACAGTCTGGTAGACTACCAAGACGCTAGGATTCCGTGATACCAGTCTCTGTATAGCCGCACGTACTAGACGGAGGTGATGTTCGGCTACAGACAGGTGAAACGGCATCAGGTGCAGGAACTGGTGCAGGTGTACCAGGTATTTACCTGTGGCTGGGATGCTGTCCATGATTTGTATGGTAGAATGGAGAACACTATTAGGTAAGTCCTCGCCCTGTTAAATACACATGAAATTTAACTAGTCAGATATTTCAAAGATTTAAAGTCTCCCTCTATCCTTAACTTACCTAAGACCAGAGGCGTAGCGAGGTCGGGTGTCACTCGGTGCCGCACTTAATGGTGTCACCCCCCCAGAGGCATAGAGACCCTTCCCAGGGACAAACTTTCAAATTTTCGATTTGCACCCCCCCCCTCAAACTTTCGATTTGCACCCCCCCTCAAGTTTTCGATTTGCACCCCCCCCCCTCAAACTTTCGATTTGCACCCCCCCCCTAGAGTTTTTATCTATATATTTTGCTATTTTTTGCCTTGGTGTCACCCCCCCTAAATGGTGTCACCCGGTGCGGTCCGCACCCCCGCCCCCCCCCCCCTCGCTACGTCCCTACCTAAGACTTAAACCTTCTTCTAGTCTTACCCTATTATAACTCAGTATTTAAACAAAGGAAATGGAAACTTAATAATCTCACCCCAAATTAGTCCATGCAAAACTTCAAAATTCTAATAAACATTACTCCACATCAACTATCAAAGACAGATAGCTTATCGAGCAAAAGCTAGCATTTCATCTTGGTATCTCCCTTTTAATTTTGAGATTAGTAATCTTTCAATTACACTTACAACGAGTAATCTATTCTTTGAATTGTCTTGAAAAGTTCGAACGAAATAGCTCATTAGAAGAGGGTTTGAACTGACTCACAAGATTTGCTACATATCTACAAACAAACACAAAACAGACATTGTGAACTAAATTAAAGCTTGATGAACTACATGACTTACTATAGATCCATAAAACGGATGTTTAGGAAGGAAATATTTTATCGACATTCCCAGATTGTCTATATCACACTGTAGTGGGGCGTGTTTAGTTTCCTGAGGGTAATATAAGTTCAAGATTATTAAATAACAGATGATGTATCTAAAATTATAAAATAACAGCTGATGTATCTAAAATTATAAAATAACAGATGATTTATCTAAAATTATAAAATAGCAGAAGGTGTATCTAAAATTATAAAGTAACAGAAATTGTATCTAAAATTATAAAATAACAGATGATTTATCTAAAATTATAAAATAACTAATTATTTATCTAATCTACAAAATCTATCTATGTTGTTTGGGACTAGCTTGTTGATCGAATTCTTTGTTAATGATCAGCGTATTTTACACAGCGATATTCTACTAGCTTTAAACTTTATGCTCAGTGTCTGTTCTTTTTCTTTCTTCTTCGTTCTGAACTCATTGTAATATTTGGCGGGATTTCCTCCAACACAACTATAACATGGAACATCAAGAGATAGAGTGTCAACACTGTGCTCAGCTTTTACTTTCCCTTAAGTTAATCAGGCACTCATTAGGTCTGTGTGGTCTCAGAAGTGTCCGACGGTCTCGAACCATTGATCCGAACACGAGAACTTCGGGTTAGTAGTCGCGCGCTCTATCCCCCGACCACAACGTTACCACGTAGGTAAGAGATGTTAATAAAACGATGAAATAATTCTACCTGACCTTCGACCTCTTCATCTTGTGCTGGCATCCGGTCATTGTTTGAAGCACCTCCAGCTGGTGCCTGGAGTTGGAGTCGCCCAAGATTAGCACCTGTGGGCAGGTGAGTGATAGCCAGGTGAGATCATCTTAATCAGTAATGCTAGTTAGATTAACTTAACCCATACACCAATTAAGCAAGTGAGGTGACTTTAATCGATGAACAGCTGGGGTAAAGCGACTAAGATAAAATTAACCCAAAAAATCATCTGAGATAATTTTAACCAATAAAATATTTAAGGTAACCTTAACTCGTTGATGTATTCAGATATTCATACAACCATCAGGGGTATCGATTTCTGAAACTTAACAATTTCCTACAGCCCCCTACCCCCCCCCCCCCCCCCCCAGCATGCTTCCTAACTGTTTGACAAGTACATAAGATCTGTGACGTGGAGAGCAACAAAATGATAACATAAAAGTTCAGACTTCCAGATAACGGATGCATGTGTCACATCATGCACATAAGACTTATTGAGATAAATAGTAGTATCGAACTATGAGAAAATAACTGTTTGCGCTTTTTTCTGTGTGCGCTTTTTTCTGTTTGCGCTTTTTTCTTGTTGTGCATTTTTCTGTTTGCACTTTTTTCAGTTTGCGCTTTTTTCTATATGCGCTTTTTTCATTTTGCGCTTTTTTCCGTTGCGCAATTATTTTTTGCGCCTCTTTTTCGTTGCGTATCCTTCTGGTCACTGTGGTTGCAACCTTATACTCCGAATGTTAAGTTAAACTTTAAGTGTGGGGCAGACTGACGCAACCACACCTTATAAAACTTACGGTTCATGTGGAAGGTGAAGTAGAGTTCACCTGTTTCAGTGCCCAGACAACGACAGATGAAAATATTGTGATCTGCACAAGCCCAGCCGCCTTTGCTTTCCCTAGCGTAGGTCAGGTACCCATTAGGGCTGGATGGACTCAGGGACGTAGCGCGAACTCGAGACTTTAAGGATATCAGTTGAACGCTCTACAATTTGACCACACCATTCCTAAGCTCCACAAGTGATCCACAAAAATAATGAAGATCATGGACTTTACTTATGTTTTAACAAAGCCGGTGAAAATGTAAACAAGCGTCTAATTTATAAAAAAAAATATTTACCTGAGTTCCATTCAAACACCTGTGCAGGAAAGTTTTGTCCACGACAGGAAGTTGACAAGCTTGAGGTCGCCATGACCCATTGTAGAAAAATCCAGAGGTGTTGACGTCATCAAACGTGTCTGATAAGTTTCTTTTACTGCAGGGTATGGAACTGGGCGGCACAAGTTTATCATTTTTGTCTGTGGAACATAAGTATAGACCTAGTCGGACAAATTTATCATTTTTGTCTGAGGAACATAAGTATAGACCTAGTCGGCACAAGTTTATCATTTTTGTCTGTGGAACATAAGTATAGACCTAGTCGGCACAAGTTTATCATTTTTGTCTGTGGAACATAAGTACAAGGTATAGACCTAGTCGGCACAAGTTTCATATAATTCCTTTCAGATAATTTTTTAAAGAGCGCGGGGGTGGGGGGGGGGGGGGAATAAACTTCCGTGAGGGAGGAGGGTGGTGGGACTTTGGCGACCAATATTTTTATTAATGAAATCAAGTTTTAATCAATGTTCTTTCAATGCATTTTGAGCTTATTAATAATCTAAAGATTTTTTTATAGTTTTGTTCTAGTTTTTTTTTTTTTAAATTATCCAACCCCGCATGTACTTCAATGTATAACATAAACCTGTATCGACCAGTCGCTTACCTGTATAAGTTAAACCTGTATCAACCAGTCGCTTACCTGTACAAGTTAAACCTGTATCAACCAGTCACTTACCTGCATAAGTTAAACCTGTATCAACCAATCACTTACCTTTATAAGTTAAACCTGTATCAACCAGTCACTTACCTGCATAAGTTAAACCTGTATCAACCAGTCGCTTACCTGTACAAGTTAAACCTGTATCAACCAGTCACTTACCTGCATAAGTTAAACCTGTATCAACCAATCACTTACCTGTATAAGTTAAACCTGTATCAACCAGTCACTTACCTGCATAAGTTAAACCTGTATCAACCAGTCGCTTACCTGTACAAGTTAAACCTGTATCAACCAGTCACTTACCTGCATAAGTTAAACCTGTATCAACCAATCACTTACCTGTATAAGTTAAACCTGTATCAACCAGTCACTTACCTGCATAAGTTAAACCTGTATCAACCAATCACTTACCTTTATAAGTTAAACCTGTATCAACCAATCACTTACCTGCATAAGTTAAACCTGTATCAACCAATCACTTACCTGTATAAGTTAAACCTGTATCAACCAGTCACTTACCTGCATAAGTTAAACCTGTATCAACCAATCACTTACCTTTATAAGTTAAACCTGTATCAACCAATCACTTACCTGTATAAATTAAACCTGTATCAACCAATCGCTTACCTGGTGAAACATGGAGTGTTATGTTCGATGGGATCATGAAGGGCCGTTTGCTATTGGGGAAGGGACAGTTGTTAGAATAAAAGTTTAACTTAGTTAAAGAAAATTATAAATATGTGTATATAATATTTGTGAAATGTTGTCTCCGGAACATAGATTTAGGATATTTTAACATTAGCCTTGCTTTATGTAAACAAACCTCTCTGTAAGGAGAACTAACTCTTCCTCGGCTTTTGTCATAGGGTAATTGGCTAGGTTATCTACCTTTCTCACACTGGCCCAGTTAGCGCACTGAGGAAGTAAACAACTCAGGAATAAACTTTAAAATTCTGTACAATAATACAACAACGGATAGAGTGATAATAATATTCTACTGACAGAGTTAAATATATACCTTTAGCTATACAGATAAATAGTATTAATCTCGAATAAGATTTATTAGACACATATCACCTTTAGATCCCGTGGCTTCCCACAATACCACGGGAACTGGTTGACCTCTGTAAGGTTACAGATGTCAGTGACGTTATATCCGGGTAGTTTAGGGACGGCTGAGCACGGGGTGACCTCTGACCTTGTACCGTTGTTAAACGTGGCCAGAAGCCATTGGGTTGTTGTGAAAAGTCTCTGAGTGGGGGTGGGGGAGGGACAAGGGGCAGGTTGAGTGATGTTAAATTTGGCAAAAATATTTGATTCGTGTCTAAATGTCGAGTACCATTATATATATATATATATATATATATATATATATATATATATATATATATATATATATATATATATATATATATATATATATATATATATATATACGTCGGATACATTGTTCGAAAAAAAATAAAATTTTATGAATATGTTATCGAAAAATTACGTCGCCGTAATTACGAAACCAGAAGAAAAACTTTTGAAAAAATAAAATGTGCTCCAAAGAAAAAGAGCTGGAGTTATGTCCCCTCCGTGACTCGCTTATAGCTAAACGCTCCATAAGAAAATGTGTAGAATACAAGACTTTAGTCCTGGTGGTTCTCCTGTTCTAGAGGAGTCAGATACACCACATGCACTTTTGCGTAGATTAAACCAACCAAAATATGTTTACGCACAATGTGTATAGTTTTCATACAAGGGACCCATCAAATACCTTAACATATAAATTTGTCCTGAAGAGTTCTCTGTGATGGGCTATCGTAGCCTTGACCTTCACTGACCCACTCCATGGTAACGGACAAGACGCCAGATACGTCCCGTCTAAATTATCCGTGACGTCAGCAGCGATGGCGGCTTTAAGGGAGTCAGTGACCAGCCACACCCTGACGCTGGTCCCACCTGGGGAGGTCAAGGTTGGATTATTGCACACCTGCACATACAGGTGTGTCTAATGTTTGTCTTACTGTCTGAGTGTCTGGGCAGGGACCAGCCACACCTGGGGAGGTCAAGGTTGGATCATTGCACACCTGCACATACAGGTGTGTCTAATGTTTGTCTTACTGTCTGAGTGTCTGGGCAGGGACCAGCCACACCCTGACACTGGTCCCACCTGGTTAGACCGTCATGGTTCAGTGGTTAGGTTGGATTATCAGTGTGCTGTCGATTGCTAACCCGAAAGTGTCAAGTTCAGATCTAACCAGTAGAACATCTCTGATTCTATCCTGATCTGATGGGTACCTGACTCACGTTAGGGAAACTCAGGCGGCTGAGCATAGTTCTGACAGCACAATCAACCTATGTGTCAAAGTTATTGAAACTGGTTAACTCTTCTTCACCTGCCGCCTGTGTTTTGGACACAAACGGGAAAGTACGTCGATGATGATTGCATTCATTGTAGATGCTGCGATAAGTAGTCCCTCGTTAGCTATGGTAATTCTCTCCCCTCTCCCATGGAACAGCTCAGTATATATGACATTACTTATTGTCAGTAAATTTGACATTACCTATTCTAATTCTCTCCCCTCTCCCATTAAACAGCACCACTTGAATGTTGATGATGTCCCCTAGTCTGAACGTGCTGGAGTCATTGACTAAAACCACTTTGGAGTTGTCCGCTGACGCGATGTCTCTGATATCCCGTAGAGGTGGGTGGGACAGGAAGTCTTTCTCCCAGGGGTAGAGCTGGGGGTGGGGGGCTGGCATCATCAGCTCCTTGTGGTTGAAGGCGCAGCATCTGTAGGGTAGAAAGTTACATAATGGCAAACACTGAAACTTGTAAGATCAATATCGAGACCTCTATGTAAGTCGTGTTCAATGAAAGAAAAATCGTTTTGGAGACATAAAGCTAATTAAGTGACTTAGCTAATTACTATAGAAACAAATTTTGATTAGTGTAAATTTTCTGTCATCTAGTTATAAATTTGTTGTGAAACTGTTATCAAATGTCAATTATATATCATCGATGTCATAATTAGTGGCAAATGTATCGGCATCGATGTCACAATTATAAGACAAAACTAATGTCGTTGCTTTTTATAATGTACTAAGTAAAATTCATCTGTCACTACAATACCTAGTGTTAGCTTTCAACAGAAGAACCTAGGATAGGTTTTTCTTTTAATTGGTCTAAGGTTGAAACACAGCAGTTGTAACACGAATTCCTTTAGTTTTACTTTGTATTTTTTTTTGGTTGGAGATAATTGCCGAGCTGAGTTTCATAAGTTTTCATGATTTCCTTAAGAACGAACGTGGCTTTGTATACAAATGTAACACATTATTTTCTCTAGAATTTAAAAGTCACCCATTGTCGTATTAAGGAATGTCTCGTTTTGTGTAGGTTGTGTGAAGAAATGGAAAAAACATCGGTAGGTCTTCGACAGCGAGGTAAACTTATTCTGATTAAAGGTTCAGCCTTCGATTATTGTATATGTTAGTTGGTTAAACTCACTCAGATTATTAAATATAAGCTAGTTCAACTCAGTGGCGTAGGCAGGGGGGGGGGGGGGGGGGGTTAGGGGGGGTTATAACCCCCCCATGTACCCCCAATATGACTACCTTTTTACCTTAAGCTACAGCTATTGACTTGTGTCGATATTATTTAGGGCTTAAACACTAAACACTTAACCTGGCAGCCTCTAGAACAACAATGTATATCATTGTGATGAGAATTGCCTGTAGAATTTAGTTATGAATTTTATTATCGTGCTAAAGTTAAGTATAATAATCCTCAACGCAGTAGGCCAAGGGAAAGTTGGCCAAGGTTAGATCAGTTAAGGAGTGTCGAATGGGGAGGGGTGGGCTACGTGGGTAGGCCTTTGTTGTCTAATATGATTGTAGTGCAACCGGAAAGCGCCTAGAAATTTAAAAAAAAAAAACAACGAAGGAATTGATTATTATTCGCATTGAGGTTCTATAATGTGTATGTTTTTACTACTTCAAAACATTTGAAATTCATTTCACTAATGGCGGATGAAACAGGGAAACTGAAAACTATTTAATTTTTAAAAAGATAAGTAAACTGAAAATGATAAAGATGGCAGAGGACACAAGGTTATCAGTTAAAGGGTGTGACAGGGGGGGGGGGGGGGTGAGGGTGGATTTGAATATGGGTACGTCTCAATTACTACCGGATGCACATCTGGCAGGAAAGCGTGGGCTGGACCCACAATTGTTGACACAAAACTTAGTGTTGGTAGATATAAAAACTGCGTAGGTGGTTAAATATAGATGTAGAGCCAGGAACCTACAGTAGTCATTTTTAGACAGTCAGAAAAGAAAGACCAATAATTATTTATTTTCTTATTCGCATAGTCGTGTTTTAATGTGTATCTTTTTGATAATTAAAGCAATTTAAATTCATTTTAATGATGTCGGATGGAAAAAGGAAATTTAAAACTACTTTATTAACTGATTTCTTTACAAAGAAAAATAAAACTGAAAATGATAAAAATGAAGATGGTACTATTGACTCTCAAACTACATTACATCAAGAAATTTCCATAAATTCAGCACCTTTGACTGTTTCTTATGCAAATGATATCGGCAATTTTATCAAAGGAGTTATTACAGATGATACACGGTTGTATTTATTAGAAAACATCTGGCGTCCCGAAGAACTTTTTAAATTTCCAGCAAGCGGACAAAGAAATTTAAAGTTTCAATATTCGTGGCTACTTAGGTGGAACTGGTTGACTTATTCCAAATTACTTGATGGCGCATTTTGCAAATATTGTGTTTTGTTTAGTTTGAATTATGGTGGTGTAGGTAGTCAGCCTTTAGGTAAGTTATCAAAAATTCCATTTTCAAACTGGAAAAAGGCAACAGACAAGTTTAATGAGCACCAGCAATGTGAATATCATAAAAGAGCAATTTTACTTTCCCAAAATCGTAAATCGGTTATGGAGAAAAAAATAGAACCTATTAACATCGCCTTGAACTCATCAGTAAGTCAACAAATTCTAGAAAATCGTTTAAGGTTAGCGCCCATAATAGAAACTATAATTTTTTGCGGCCGACAAGGTCTTGCACTTAGGGGGCACAGGGATTTCGGAAATTTTCAGTTGGAGGATCCTGACGAAAATGATGGAAATTTTCGAGCTCTTTTAAGATACAAAGCCATGGGTGGAGACGAAACACTTAAACATCATCTAGAAAATTCTTCAAAAAATGCAAGATACTTAAGTCCCACCATTCAGAATGAAGTGATAAATGTGTGCAATAAATTAATTGTTCAAAAGATTGTTGCGAAAATTACTTCTGTTAAATTGTTTTCTGTCTTAGCCGATGAAACTAGTGATATAGCTGGTATGGAGCAATTTTCGTTGTGTGTTCGCTACTATGATAACGACATAAAGAAAATAAGGGAGGATTTCCTACAGTTTGTAGGTGTAACTGATCTAACAGGCAAAGGACTTGCAAATGTTTTAATGGACACTCTAGCAAATTTACACATAGACGGTAATTTTATGATAGGTCAAGGATATGATGGAGCCGCTGCAATGAGTGGTCGACTTCATGGGGCGCAACAATATGTTGCTGAGAAATTTGATTTGGCTATTTACGTGCATTGCGCATCTCACAGTCTAAACCTAGCACTTTCTGATGCCTGCGAACTACCAGCTGTAAGAAACTGTATGGGAATTCTTAATAGTACATACAACTTTTTTAACACACCAAAACGACAATCTTTGCTTGCAAATTCAATAGAGAAATTAACACCTAAAGCATCAGCATCTCGACTTAAACCATTGTGCGCAACCAGATGGATTGAGCGTCATGAGTCTGTCAACGTTTTTATACAGCTTCAAAAAGCAACTGTTGATGCACTGGAAATTATGTCATCCTGGCACGATACAACAACTTCTTCAACAGCGGTTCAACTTTTAGGTGCAATTAGGAGTCTTGAGTTTCAAGTTTCTCTTAGAGTTATCTCAAAAATCTTTGCAATAACACTTCCTGTCAGCAGAATACTCCAAACAGAAAACTTTGATCTATGTGCGGCTCTAAAATTTACAGAAGATTCAAGTAGCCTACTAGTGAATATGCGGAAGGATGCTGAATCAGAATTTACTACCGTATTTAATGAAGTCAAAGACATTTGTGAGGACTTCGACATAGATATACTTATTCCACGTCGAGCTGGAAAACAAATTCAACGCTGCAATGTTATGGCAAATACGCCTGAAGAGTATTACAGAATAGCTGTATTTATTCCTTTCCTTGATTCGGTTATATGTCAAATAGGAGACAGATTGCTAAAACATAAATCTGTTTTGAGAGGTTTTATGTGTCTTTTACCCAATGACTCGGGTTTTACCAAAGAACAGGAAAAGAATGCCATAATACTTATGCAAAAATATGAACGTTTGATTAACAGCAGTGTCATCGATGAAAGCATTGGAGAACTGAAACTGTGGTGGCGCCACATTATTACAAGTGGAAATGTACCGCAAAACGCTCATCAAGCTTTTTTAATGTGTGACGTAAAAATATTTCCAACAGTACACAAACTACTGCAAATATTTGTAACATTGCCTGTAACAACTGCCGTTAGCGAACGCTCTTTTTCCACTCTCAGACGGCTAAAAACGTACTTGCGAAATACTACTTGCGAGGATAGACTAAATGGATTGGCATTATTAAATATTCACCGACAAATTGAAATTTTAGCGGATGAGGTTCTTGATGAATTAGCCAAGAGTCCAAGAAGACTTGAACTACGATTATAGGTAAGTAATGTTATAAGTACTTTTATCTGTTTGCTGTGTTCTAGTACTGTTATTGCGTCTATATATATATATATATATATATATATATATATATATATATATATATATATATATATATATATAAAATGCTGGAAAAAAATTGGAACCCCCCCCATGAGACGATCCTGGCTACGCCACTGGTTCAACTTACTCAGATTATTTTATATGGAAGCTGGTTACTTACTCAGATTTTTGTATATGTAAGCTGGTTACTTAGATTATTGTATATGTGGGCTGGTTACTTACTCAGATTTTTATATTTATGAGCTGGCTACTTACTCAGATTTTCGTATATGTTAGCTGGTTACTTACTCAGATTATGTTTACGATTATTGTATGTTAGCTAGTTAAACTTACTCAGATTATTATATATGTGGGCTGATTAAACTCACTAAGATTATTATATATGTGGGCTGATTAAACTTACTCAGAATATTATATATGTGGGCTGATTAAACTTACTCAGAATATTATATATGTGGGTTGATCAAACTTACTCAGAATATTATATATGTGGGTTGATTAAACTTACTCAGAATATTATATATGTGGGTTGATTAAACTTACTCAGATTGTTGTATATGTTAGCCGGTTAAACTTACTCAGATGCCAGGTTCAGCCGTCGAATATTCTCGTCTCGCGTGAGGGCCGTAGGTCGCCAGTAGTGATGAGGGTTTTGGTGGACGTCTAGACACGCTGGGCGTTTTTTAATTGACTCAATCGTGCACCTGTTAACATGGTTGTCAGGTTTAGTTAAGTTTTTTAATCGACTCACTCTTGCACCTGGTTAACATGGTTGTCAGGTTTTGTTAAGTTTTTTAATTGACTCATTCACGCACCTAGTTGCCATGGTTGTCAAGTTTTGTTAACTTTTATGTCGTGTGGAGTTATAGGAATATTTTTAAAAGAAATGTGTGGCAGACACACTTTCAATGTGAGGGTGGGGGTGGGGGAGTAAGTCGGGGGAATTAAGGGATTGACGACAAATCCCCGAAAGACACATTCTTTTAAATGTCGCATTCGTGCCATTTTTTGCATTCGAGCAAGTGTCCATTTGAATATTTGTCGCATTCGGGCAGGTGTCCATTTTGGAAAATGTCCTACGGGCAAACGACATCCGTGGAAATGTCTTTGGTCAGTTCACGCCCACACACTACAACTGTCACACACAACTGTCACACTACAAATGTCACACTACAACTGTCACACTACAACTGTCACACACAACTGTCACACACAACTGTCACACACAACTGTCACACTACAACTGTCACACACAACTGTCACACTACAACTGTCACACACAACTGTCACACACAACTGTCACACACCAAACTAACAGGACCAGGACCAGTATTTTGACAGACACCTATGTAGACTGAACAAAAAAAGTGAAAACAAATATTCTGCAGGCGACTAAAACTGGTATTTAACAGAAAACGTTAAATTAACTAGTGGGAAAAACCACTTATCTATCATACCATTAAACACAAACACTGTGGGAGAAACCACTTATCAACAATGGGAACTATGGGTGGGGTGTGTAAACCAGAGTGACGTCTAGTAGTTTTATCAGCGTGCTGTCGTCTTCATTGATATCTGAAGGTATTTGTTTTTCAAATTGGGAGAGGTGGAATGGTTACTGGTGGCACGAAGATTATTCAAACCTGCGTTTATGGCATGATGGCATTTCTATGCTATCGCCGTAATTACTCGTTCGCGACAAAGTAAATATTTTCCTACTCGTTGTAATTATATTCATTACTGCAGTGGTTTTGACATTACTTTGTTTACTATTCAAATCAATGTCAAATAAATTTTTATTGGTTGTTGCCTTCTTTAAAATATCTTTATCTCTGTCTAAAAATGTGTGTACTGCTAATTCTGGGTTAGTTCAAGAAGTGAAGGGGATGTTACGGGCAGAGGCGTGTCGACGGGGGGAGGATACATATGTCCCCGGGCGCCGACCTTAGGGGCGCCAAAATTAGTTGGAAAATAATTAAAAGCGCAGTTTAGCTATAGTTTTCAATTATAAATATAAAAAACATATATAGGGGGATGCGCCAAATTGAAAGTTTGTCCCCGGGCGCCGGGAATGGTCGCTACGCTCAGGGGGTCAGTTGTAGTTTAAATTAGAATAGGCTAGAATAGTCCAGAACGTAGGGGAAATGTGTGTGTGAGTTGAGTTAACCACCGCTTGTTTAGGTTAACGTGGTTAGGGGTAGAAGTGGTTACACGTCTGACTTGATGCATGGAAGGCTAGGCGATTTGGTGCCGTGTGGAATGGTAGGTTCGGAACCCGTCGGGTCTGTCTGTTCTGTCTTTACTTGGACTATATTCTGTACCTTTGTCTACCCTTGGCGTTGAAATATCACTTTATGTTTACATTGCTATTTGCTTGTTTAGGTATTGTTATCATAAGGTCGAGTGCGGGTATAAAAGCTTGAAAGAACGATTGTAAGGGGCTTTAGTTAGTAGCGGCTAGGGACGAGGGCGGCTGTGTGATGTGTAAAGATGAGGACCAATAAAAAAATGTGTTAAGTATTGAACAGTTTCTACAATCGTTGTTGCTTTTTATAAAACCCAAACATAACGGGGGGGGGGGGTAGCCTGCTTACACGATAATAGAGCCTTGGCGCAAAAAAAATATTTTAACTGCTATAGAAAAAGATAAAGGGCTCCATTATCGTTAAAATATAAATTATAAACTATACAATTATACGAAAACCCGAAAACGACAAGTCTCTCCCCCATCTCCCCCCCCCCCCCCCGTCAATTCATAGAAAAATAATTCCAGTTGGTGATCCCTTACTTCACAGAAGGTAAACTGAATATCGCGATATTGTTGGGTCCGTTTTTACAAATGTCATATAGTCAGAGGTTATAGTTTAAGTCCAAACCTCTGATATTTGTCTCTGATTTCCTCCAGAGTTATAGCCGTCCCACGAATAGACGGCCACTGGTCTGACGTCACATCGTCTGGTAATAGAGAGAAACATTGTTACATTTTCTAACCTAAATACAATGATAAGAGCGTGTTGAGGTAAATTAAAAGTAAAATTAAACTTATAGTTTTCAACCTCAGTACTACATGGAAATTAACAAGCATGGGGTGGGGGGGGGGGGTAGGGGGAGGGGAATTTACTGTTCTATAAGTGATAGAAAGGCGGTGATATACACAATTTTATTATTTTATATCTCTTTGTGAGGCAGCAACGTAAAACAAAACAACAACTAAATATTAGCGCCTAAGTTTAGAGATTAAAACCCAACAGTTTAGCCATCGACAGATGAGTTTAGAGATTAAAAACCTGTCACGGCCTTTTTGTACTGTCAACTTCATGGCACAAACTCAAGACAAATACCAACCGCATCACTGTTGTGTTATTGCATATTAAGGCCTGACGGATAACACCAAGCAACTCTTGTCCTGGTAATTTACACAATTTTATTGATTCAAAGATACAGCAGCTTCATAACCAAAACCACGCCATTTCTTCTTTTCCCTTTCTCTCCACTTCCACTTTCTTTTGCGCATGCGCCAACCCACAATATATTTTAGATTTATATCGCCTTTTTACACCTCCACTCGAAACATACATTCACCCTACATTTGACTGTTACAAAACCTAACATTTTTAGCATCGGTGTTGAAAACCAGTTAAATGTTTGACTAAGTTGAGTCAATTCAATATATTCCCACTCCCCAATTCCCCCCCCCCCAAATGTTCTACCCCACCTCAGGTTGCAAACCTTATCATTGTCAGCAAAATTTCAGCATGTTCCAATTCACAATAAGAGATAAGAGGTTCTATAAAGAAACAGACGAGACATAAACCAAAGCTTATAATAAATCAATAATGTACCAGACTGGTGAAGTAATGGGTGTAATGATGTGTTAACTCCAAACTGTATAAGCTCTGTACTTCCGTTCTTCACCTTCAAAATCTGGCCAGTATAAGTAGGTTGGGGTAGATTGAAATACCTGTGGGTTGGGGGGAAATAGCGTTATGTCGATAAAACCCATATGTTGTATGTGGTAGGTATAAAATATATGTGTATAGTTTTCAGAGGCGTAGCGGGGGTGGGGGGGGGGGTGCGGACCGCACCGGCTGACATCATTTAGGGGGTGACACCAAGGCATAAATATATAGAGAAAAATGATAATTTCACTTAATTAAGTGATTAATTCGAGTGTTAAATAGTGTTTTTAGAGGTGCAAAAACGAAAGTTTGAGGGGTGGGGTCCTAATCGAAAATTGAAAGTTTGTCCCCGGGAAGAGTCGCTACGCCCTCTGGGGGGTGACACCATTAAGTGCTGCACCGGGTGACACCCGACCTCGCTACGCCACTGATAGTTTTCTTTCAATAAAACAAGTACATGTTGTATATGGTAGGTGTGAAAGAAATGTATGTATAGCGCTAGACCATCGAAACCTCTTTATGTTTTATATGTTCGTTATAAAATAAATGTATAGGGCTATCTCTGGTAAGTACGTAAAGTTCCCCTTTCAAACCTGGGAAGTAGAGTTCACCTGTTTCTGAAGGGATGGTATGCCTAGCCATTTTTACTTATGCACACAAAAATCAGTTTCTATCTGACAAAAGCCATACAGAAAAACAGTCCCTAACTGATATAAAGCCAAAGAAAAACCAGTCCCTTCCTGGGAGAAAGCTACAAAAACCAGTTCCTACCTGATAAAACGCCACGAAAAAAAACTCTAGTCCCTACCTGAGAGAAAGCCACAAAAAAACCCAGTCCCTACCTGAGAGAAAGCCACAAGACAACCAAAGACAGCAGACAGAACACAAGACACAATTGTTGTCTCGCCATGCAGGCCGAGGTCTGAAAATGTTTACAAACTCTCAACATCATGTATCGTTTGGTGCAGAGTTTCTTCCAGCCCCCCCCCCCCCACGAAGAAAGTCTACCGCCCCCCCCCCCTCGAACAAGATGGAATTTATATAGTAAACATATACTTTTACTAGTGTCCGCCCCCCCCCCCCCCCTCGAACGAGATGGAATTTATATAGTAAACATATACTTTTACTAGTGTCCGCCCCCCCCCCCGGAAAATGTAGACAGCCCCTTCGAAAATATCAAGTAACCCCCCCCCCCCGGAAAAAAAAGTCTGGTAGAAACACTGATTTGGTGAAATAAATGTATAAGTAAAGGTAATGTGAATCATTTGGTGAATTACATGTATGAGTAAAGGTAATGTGAATCGTTTGAAGAAATACTGTATAAGTAAAGGTAACATGAATCATTTGGTGAGTACATATTTAAAACTGTACGAACTGGGAGATATACTATTCAAATGAGTACACAGATCACGTGTTCCAAATCTATGGGTCGCGATCCCCATGGGGGAGAGAGAGGCGGGGGGGGGGGGGTCGTTAAGGTTTCTCTGGGGATCGCTAAAGTTTAGACTACGTTAAACAAAAACAAATCTTCTTGAATTTTATTGGGCTCGCGGGTCGCTTGACATATATAAAACAAATTTTGAATACTCTAAAAAGTTTGAGAACCTGTGATATAGATGTTTGTATATGAGAGTATTTGAGTGTTTGTTTATTTATGTTTAATTGTTTACGTTAATAAGATTAATTGTTATGTTTTATGTGAAGAGGTTTGAAGCATTCAACACATTTTAAATCGTTTAAGTGAAAATAAAATATTTGCAAATTCTACAACAAATGCTCCACGATTTTATCATAAAATGTCATAGCCACCTCAGAGTATTGATTTGTTAAGGAAGCCAGAAGACATATTTATTTATAAATAATTAACTATTATTATTATTATTATTATTATTATTATTATTATTATTATTATTATTATTATTATTAT